CCCCCCTTCACCCAAACCCGACGCTCCAGGTCGTGAAACTTTTTACTACTTACTACGAGAACAGTATACAACAATTTGCTGCAAGATAAAACTTTTTTAGATGTTTGGGTTTCAACCTAATTTTACTATACTATAACAGAATACTTACGACACTACGTGGATAAAAACCTACAAGACTGGGATAAATACCTACGTTCCTTTTGCTATGTTAGTTTACAACACCACATTCGACCACGGAGCGTCAACCGTACGAACTTGTCGGTGGTATAGACCAGCGGAAGTTCCGAATTCCCTATCTCGAACCGAAAAAGTCCGGTATAATTACGATGACTGTGGCTTCGAATTGAAACAACGGCTACAGCAAGCGCGCGACAATCGTAGAGGAAAAAATAAATCAAAAGCGGTGTGCAATCGAACAGCTAAACACATCACGGTCCATATCGGAGATAAGGTACTAACAATATTGCATACGAAAAAAGGCAAGTTGAGCGGCAAGTGGCAAAGGCCATTCGAGGTCATAGGACACGGAAAATATAATTATTCGGAAGGGGGACGAAAGGAAGTCAAAGTCCATACCAACGAAGCAAAACTCTTCAATGAGTGACATCAGAAAAATGGTCTATGTATTTACCAAGTAGATAAAATTGACTTTCAGAAAAGGTGCTAGACTTATATATCGGAGCAAGTTTACTAGGAAAAAGAGAGGCCATAGACTAGAACAAAGGAAAAAAGAAAAAAAAACAGCTTAGTTAAACAAATAGCTCACTCGCTACGCTCGGAATTTAAAATGAAGTGAAAGAATACATAGAAAAAAAAATTATACAAATTGGTTGTTTTACATAGCGCAAAGAAATAATTTATTTTAATAGGAGAGATTATTTTAAATTAATTATTATTAAACATAGATATGTTAAGAAATATAAATTATTTGGTTATTATTTATTATCTAAAATTTACTGATATAAGATACTATTTTTAAAATCGGTTTGAACATTTAAAATATTATTCAATTTTTTTAATTTCATATTGTAAGTGTAATTCTTCTAAAACTGAATTAATGTAAATATTATTTTGGGTATTTAATATCTTTAAATCTGTATTAATAAAAAAGTTTATATTATGGTTATTTTCTAAAACATATTTGGCGAAATTTGAATTAGTTGCGGTCTTTTTTAATTTTATTTCAGAAATGTGTTATTTTTATTTTTATTAATTAATTATTTGTATGGACTATATTATAGATAATATTGAGCTCGTGTTGATAATTATATTTATTTAATGGAATACGTTCAAGCCTATAGAATATTGAATTAAAAAAATTATATTTTTTGAGAATAAAGGTGATTAGAATCATGTGGTATTATAGAATCAGTTTGTGTGGTTTCCTGTAAATATTAAAATCAAATTTATTGTTTATTATGGAAACTGTAAGATTTAAGAAATTTAATTTATTATTCATTTGTATTTCAAATGTAAATTGAATGTTTTTATTTAATTTATTTAAGTAGTTCAGTAAATTTTCTACTTGTCTATTTGAACCTCTAAATAAAATAAACGTGTCATCAACATATCTATAATATGCTTTTATATATGGACTATATATTTTGTTGTTAATAATATTATTGGTTTCATAATTTCGCATGTGAATTTCATATAAAAAATCAATTAAGTGCCACTCATAACTAACCCATTTTTTTGAGAGTATAATTTAATATATTAGAAGTAATTTTGGTTAATAATTACATTTATTGATATAAATAATTTCTTGTACTTCGTTTGTATTAAATTTGTTACAATGTACAAGTTTATTTTTTAAAACATTTACTGTTTCGTCCAGGCGACGCATTGATTCATTTATTTATTTTATTTTTATACATACATTTTTTATTTATATATTTATTTCTTATATTTATTTACGAGTATTAAACACTTTAATAAATTTGTTTTAACTTTGTTATTTTATTATACATCAAATTGTTCAAGCAATAGTTACCTATTGACACATACCAGGTAGGTACCTATATTATATTATTCATGAATAATATCATAAATAACTATTTTATAATATTATATTATGCATTTAAATGCATTAATAGATATAACATAATAGGTACGTGATTTTTTTTTAAATTTTATTACCTATCTTTTTACCGAATTTCCCTAACTTTTTGGATGTTTTCCCTGTTTCCCTAACATTTTCTTAATTTACTAAAATTTCCCTGAAGCTAAGGAAATATCGTTGGCGTATTCTTCAAAAAAGAACATCATGCACTAAAACGAAACGAAGTAACGGAAGATTACAGATTTTTAATAAGAAAACAGGATTCAAGTGAAACATTTGATAAATGGTAGCTCTCGACATAGGAGACGCGGGGGAGTGCGGTCAGTTCGCCGTCATGGCGGCAACCGCGGTGCAGCCAACGTCCTTGCAGTGAATCGACCGGAGGGGAAATACTGGAACGGAGGTCTGCCTCAGTTCTTATGATAAATCTTTAGGTTTTCCAAAGAGTACTGTGAAAGTTTACAATCCCAACACGTATATTTGAACAAAAATTAGACAAAATTAATAGTGCACGATATAAAAATGTAGTTGCGAGTTTTGATAAGATAGGTCATGTAGGATAGAAAATTTCACGATAGAAAAATCCCACAGACTTCTAAACTATGTCGATTAAATGTCACATGGTTTGCATGACTCATAATTTTGTTCATTAGTCTAGTGTTTTCTTGTATTGACAGATAGCGAAATAAAAAAAAAAAAGGTATAATGTATTATTCAAATATACGAAGTGCCCAATTTTATTAATTTTTTTATATTAAATTTTTTATATAAAATCACCATGACTTAGATTAATAATAAGATATTTAGTAAATATCTTACTTATACTTATTAGACTTAGCATATATTTGTGAAATAGAATAATAACACTTAGGTGATGGTGATCAACCTCTAACTGTTAGAGTCTAACATCTATGTTTGCAACATAAAATAAAAAAGTTCACGCCGCCACTGGTTATAGGTATACATTTTAATAGGTAGAAGCATAACCGAATTCGACCGAAATCGGACCCTTCACTTTTCGGCCGATTCACTTCACTTAATATAGTAATTGCATTTTTAGGTATAATTTGAAAATATAGTGAACCAGACTTACTGACAAATTCAAACAAAATATAATTTTCTTTTAAATTATAAGTATTTGTAATAAAATATAAATAAATATACTATTCATTTTAGTATAAAACACATATATGTATATACAATATACATATAAATATTTTAAACTATAAGTAGGTGACATGACATGTTAACTTAAAAATACATAAATTAAACTTTCGATTTGGATATTTTATACTTTTCAACATGTATGACATGCTTAATAATTTAGTATTGTTTTGGCCAAAAAGGGAAAGGTGCGATTTCGGGTTTTGGTCGATAAGGGTCTCGCCCATAGGTAGGGTAGGCTGACATATTTGATTGTTATTTAATTTTCCGTTTGGTTTTCTCCCATGTAATTATGTTACGAGGTATCTGGATGATTATAGGTGTTGTGAATATGATGTATATGATCACAATGAACAATCGTTATCTAGTTAAATATAAATAATTCGTATGATTTTGTGTTCTTACTTCAGCATCAGCCATAAAATATTACAAATTATAATATTAGCTTTGTATACAAATTATTACACTATGGTTACGCCGATATAATATTTCGGTACATAATATATAATGTGTAAAGGTACTTGATATATTTTTTTTATTATTATACAAATTACAAAAATTACAAAACCGTTAGGAAAAACATCAGCGATCTCATAGAAAAAAATAAACATGTACCAATATAATAAAATATTATTAAATATAATAATTAAGTAGAATAAAATAAGATAAAATAAACGGAATATAATGTAGTATATAAATCGAGTGTTCATACAAAAAAAAAAAAAAATAAAAATAATTAAAAATTATAATAAAAATTATAAAATAAAAATATCACAAAATTGTTCGGGCGTTCAAAACGTAATAGTAACCGGGAATATCGACAAATCGTCGGTCGTTTTCCTCACCTAACCGTACGCGAATAATATGACGTATATGTACGCACGTGGGCGAAACTAGAGATGGGACAGCCAGCCCTCCCCCCTCACATCCCCTTACTTACGTCACCCGAGTCGGCCAAATTCGTTTTTTTTTTTTTTTTTTTTAATTTTACCATCGGCCAAATTGACAGTCAAATGAGCAAAAAAAAAAATAATAATAACAATAATAATTAGGTAATTATTATTGTCGGCCACGAACTCGTCCGTTACGGGGGCGTAACAAAGTCAGTTATTTTATGGGGGAGGGTTGAAGTGTGACCCTATTATTATCGACGGTAGCGATTTTTCCACGTCGATTTGGGCCGACTCGTATCGTTACAAAATATTAAATCCATTCGCGCAAAGTCTTGGGGCGGATGTGCGTTTCCGCGGTTGCGGCTCAAGCTCGGATTTCTGTTTGGCCCACTCCCCCATCAAAAATCGATTCCGTTCGGATCCCGTTGTGCGCTCGGCACTTCAAACGGAAATCAAACCGGTCGCCGTACGGTCTGACGGCCTTTCGTAACGTGTCTGTTTGTGGTTTAAGTATATACTTATATATATATATATACAGGTGTAGGTACGTCACGACAGCGTGGATATCCAAATATCCGTCTCGCACGCGTTGTAGACCATATTACGATATCGAAATCGTTAACGGTACAGCAGTGTCCGTCGATGTTTAGCTGCGCTATGTGCACACAGTGACGGACCCGGGACAAGATACCGGGGGGGGGGGGAAGGGAACGGGTGGATTTGTATAAATGTACACATATAATGGAAAACGAGCTAAAAGTATATCGGGCAGTGAACGGGAAGGACGGGGTACGCGCCGTTGGGTCCGTCACAGTGTGCAGTGCCACCAAGGTCCTGCGCGGTGTACAAGAAATAACGCGTTTAACGTATTTCGAATAAACGCCCTTAAAAAGGTCCATTTACCGTGTGAAAAAAAAAAAAAAACGTTAGACTACATAATTAATTTCGACTTAGGTACAGTTCTTACGATTGCAGGGCTTTTGTGAGAAAACGAATTTTTTTAAGAAATGGATGGAGGAGAGGGGGTAATTTGAAAAAGAAAAATAGAAAAAACAAAGGACGCACCGAATTCCGTCGGCGACGCGAGTTTCCGGCCATAGAGATCGCGAACGTATTAGTGATGTATATTGTAACGTAATGGCGCCGGTCAACCGAACCGCCGACGGCGCGGGTATTTTCGTTTGAAAAACGTCGGCTTTCTCGTCGACAAAACCGTGCCGTTGATTGAAATACATAATACATTTCATTATGACGTATACCTGGAGCCGTTTTCACCAACGTAGAAAAAAACGAATAAAAAATAGACGTTTATTTATCTGGTCTTGGAGTTTGCCGAGTCTGCGGCGGCCGACAACCGACCACGGTTGGTCGATTATCTTGTAAACTCGGTTTGAGAACGTTGGTGAGAACCGGCCTTAATCAACGACCGCGCGCACGCACGAATCGCCCCGCAAGTATAAGCCGCCGTTTGAGACGCACGACACCCGGTATCGTCTCGAGTGTTCGGCCGGGCACACGCAGCGTGTTCTGAACGCGTGCGAATTTCCCGGCGATTCCCGAGGAACGCGCGAGTCGCGTGCACGGCCCGCAGAGACCACACCGACCGCAGTCGCTGCATCTCGTCACGACGTTTCGTCGACCCGCGCGTGGCTCGCCAGACGTGTTTTCGAGCCGTGCAGATGCGCGTTCGGGAGGTGTTGGGGGGGGGGGAGTGAGAGGCAGCTGGTTTAGCTGTGCCGTAATGTCGAGAAAACC